AGTGCTCTTAACTTTGCAGCTAACATTCCAGCTCTCTATATTTAATTCTTTTGTTTGTCTTTAGAGACCCATCCTCGTGTACTTTCGGCTGGCCTCGAACTTCTTGTGTATTTGGGTATGATCTTGAACTTCTGGTTCTCCTGCCTCCTACCTTCTAACTGCTGAGAGTGCAGGCATGCGCCAACATGTCATCTTTCTGTGTTCAAAATTTAAAGATCCTTCTAAGGCTTGAGAAATGGCTTAGTAGTTAAAGGCTAGGCTTAAAACAAAACAAAAGGTCTTTCTAATAATCTACTAACAAACCGTACTGATTTAAAAGTAACTAGTTAAGAAAATTATTCTAGAAAGTTAAAATATAGACATTCTAACCATTAGGTTAAATGTAATTTAAAATGTGACTATTTGGCTGGGTGGTGGTGACATACTCCTTTAATCTCAGCACTTTGGAGACAGGCTAATCTCTAAGTTCAAGACTAGCCTGGTCTACAGAGCAAGTTTCAGGACAGCCAGGACTACACAGAGAAACCCTGTCTCACAAAAAGAAAGATGACTATTTGGAGACAGGATGTTGAAGTGGAAATTAAGGTGAAATGCAGTCACTAAGGTAGTCTAGAACTTGCCACATGTCTCAGGATAGTCTCGAGCTCCCAATTCTCCTACTTCAGCTTCCTCAATGTAGCGATTGCAGGTGTGCACCATCATACCCAGTGTGACTGATATATTTAAGGAAGAGGGGGTCAGGGCCTGGAGAGAAGGCTTAACAGCTAAAAGCACTTTCTGCTCTTCCAACGGACTCAGTTTCATTCCTAGAACCTGTGTAGAGACAACTCCATAACCCCACACCCTCTTCTGACCTTCTTGAACACCTCATGCACACAGCACATGCAGACATACATTCAAAACCCTCTCACAACACAGTGAAATAAATACATCTTTCTTTAAAAAGGAAAAAAGTTAAAACGCAGTCGCGTACAGACAGATAACTGTTCAAGGACACAGAGAGGAGCTTTGGTCCACATTATCAAGGGAAGAGTTTCCAGAGGGACAAGCCCTGCCCCACTGTGATCTTGGATTTCTAGCCCTGAGCTATGAGAAAATTAATTTCTGCTGTTCAAGTCACCGGGTCTGTGGAATCTGTTAAGACAGCTCAAATAAACAATATAACTCTCTCCCGCTCAAAGAGAAGGAAAATGTTACATTGTGTCACTTGTTATACAAGTTAAAATAAATAGAACTTCCCTGTGGCATCTAGTAAGTCATCTCAAGAAGAGAAATAACTTGTATCTTCGCATCAGTCTCTCTCTGCCTCCTCTAAATGCAGCTGAATGGCATTGAGCATCTCCCGCTCGGAATGCTGGGACTGCCGACATTCCACAAAGAGTTGGAAGCTCATCCACTGAGAGGTGTGCCCACCACTTGCCTTCATATTTATTTGCTTCTTCTGTTCTATCAATCAAGGGCAGTTTGATCTTTTTGGCACATTTTGTTTAATAAAAATGTAAGCGTCCAAGTCATTCTTGAAAGCAAGTTGATGGGTATGGGTGGGGTTCCACCACTGACGGTCTTGAGAAGCACTTGGCCCGTAGCATCCATGGCTTCTGTTTAACACTGCTGCCTCTATTTCTTAGTAGTAATTAACGATTTAATAGATGCTTATTCTCCTGAAATCTCTTAAGACAGCTGATCTTTTTTTTTTTTTCCTTAGCCGGTTGCCTTCAAACACTCACTAGGAATCTTTTCCAAACTTGAGAAGTTGCAGGGAAGGTGGTTTGTCCTCACTGACCGTTATCAGGAAGTTTCCTGCCACATGGAGCTCCCCAGAGGTGCTCAGAAAATCAATGTCGGCTTCCTTGGGGCAAGAACGGAAGCCACAGTCTCACCACCCATCCCAAAGGGGACAGTCTCTCGCCACCGCTTTTTCCTGGTCTTAGAGGCAAGTTTCCAAATCCAGTTTGCTCTTCTGGAGGGTATTGCCTAAGAGAACAAAACCAGGTGGCAGGGTAAGGCTAGGGGCCTCCAGGCCTCCTCTCTGTCTACCTTCAAGGCTTGGTCTCCGGGAAGACCTGTCCAAGCCCTGAGAGACACCTGACAGGGGAAAGGAGCAGTCAGGAATTCTGAAACTAGATCACCTGCCCACCCTACAGTCAGGAGAGGCTCAGAGAGACCCTGTAGGGACAGCCAAGGAGTCATGGTAAATACACAAGAGGCAGGAAAAAAAGCACTAGGCACTAGAGCCCTGGGCAAGATATCAAGGGGTAGATGATTTCTGAGAAGGGCTGTGAGCAGAGTTTCTCCATTCCGACTGCCTACTCCCAAATAATCGGCAGCCGTTTCCCAAATAAGTGACTCAGAGACTTAATATAAAATACAAATGTTCATCCAATAGCTCAGGCTTGTTACTAATTAGTTCTTAGAACTTAACCCATTTCTATTAATCTATGTGCTACCCCAAAGCTTGCGGCTTTTACCTCTATCCCATTTTGTGTGTCTGGCTTATTTTCCATCTGGCTGATGGCTCCTTTGACTGGGCCGGTCTTCATCCCAGCACCCTCTTAGTCTGGTTTTCCTGCCTAACCTTCTTCTGTTCAACTATAGGCCAGTGAGCTCTTTCTTAGCCAATGAAAGTAATACATACTCATAATGTATGAAGATTGATCCACAGCAAAGGGATAAACCCAGAGGACATTTGATAAATAGCAAGGACTTGGCAGAATGTGAAGAAGGACAGGAGTGGAGGCAGGGACTGGAAGGCAGCTGGATCTGGGACAGTGGTTGAGGAAGGTGACCAAGAACATACCTCAGGTTTCGGCTCCATGCCAAATGTTGGATTCCAGAGCCCTCCCTAAATCCAAGAGAGTTGTCTCAAATAATGTCACTTCCCAGGCACTAGGTTGGTTGCACACATTTGTTTGATCTGGGACCGGTTATAGGGCATAAAGGGGAAAGAATGTGCACTGAGGTACAGCTCAAGTGTTGCCACTTTGAGGGTCTCTTGAGACCACCCACCTAACCCTTCATACATTCTCACATTGTAGCATCCATGAGGGCCTAGTGTGTGCTGAACACTGTCCTTGGCGCCAAGAGCAGAGACTCTACCACGTTCCAGCATGGACAGATGAAGCAGGAGAACACATGCAGGTCAAGTGTCAAAGGTCATGGGAAAAGTTGTGAGGCTAGGGAGGAAAGCGGGTGTGCAAGAATGGAGCCCAGGAAAGTCTTGTCTGAGATGTGACCCCAGAGTCAAGACCGGAAGGAGGCAGACTCAGAGCATGCATAAGACACAGTCAAAGCAAAGAGCCTGCTGGGATGGGCCTGCCAAGTCCTGCAAACAGTCAGAGCCCAGGGCGGGTTTGACCACCACACAGGCTGCGTATGAAAACCAGTGGTGAAACTGGTCACGGTGGGGCACACTTTTAATCCCGGTCCTTGGGAGGCAGAGGCAGGCAGATCTCTATGAGTTCAAGGCAAGACTGGTCTACAGAGTGAGTTTTACGACAATCAGAGCTATTAACAGGGAAACCCTGTCTCGAAAAGTCAAACTAACCAAAAAACAAAACAAACCCAACCAACCAACCAACCAAACAACCAAAAACACATTGGCAGAGGTCATGTGGGAAGGAGCCTAGGGGAAGCCTGTGAGGGTATTCAGATGCTCTCTCCCTAACGGTTCTTAGACAACCTGCATTTCTGCTAGCAGTAATGTATGAATGCCACTAGTCTTGGTGCTGTGGCATGTTAATTTTAAGATTTATTTTATGTATGTAATTGTGAGTGACTGTATACATGTACATGTATCACTGTGTGTGCTTGGTACCATGGAAACCAGAAGAGGGCATCAGATCCCCTGGAGTAACAGGTAGCTGTGGACAGTTTTGTGGGTGCTGGGAATTGAACTTGGATCCTCTGTAGGAGCAAAAGTACTCTTAACTGACGAACCTTCAATGTTGTGGGTTTTTGATTGGATCCTGTCTGCAGTCTCTAAACCCTCAAGAAATTCTTCTAACACTGTGGTACAGGGCTCCTCATCATTTACTTTCTTAGTTCAGACTCTCCAGTGTGGCTATGGCACTGGTTAATAAGATATAAATAGGGAGATCTAGGGACTTGGGAATTGCCTTCCAAGCATTGGCCCTACTCTGGTTTCTGTGGCCAGTCCTGCTCAGGTTAAGCTGGGTAGGCCACCCAGACAAGCTGCAACATTCTGAGCAGGCGATGATAGAAGTCAGGCGCAGAGGGAGCAGAGCTGGTCAGGATCCAGTTGGGGTTTAAATCAGAGGGCAGGCAGGCTATGGTCTGACACCTATGGCAAGGGACGGTGAAGGTGGGTGGGAGGGGCTTGTGAGGGTGAGGACAGTGAGGGTGGATAAAGGTTTCTAGGGAATTCTGCTGGATGTGGCAAGTGAGAAGTGCTCCCTCTTCGTGGCTTCACTGCTTCAAGGGAGCCCATGGTGGAAAGGAAAGGCTCACATCGCGGGAGAGAAGAGGAACTCGCCATTGTGCAAAGTGGGCTTATTCACTGACAGAGAAAGCAGGAATTCTGGGCCGGGGAGAGACAGGTGGTCAGGATTTGAAGTGCATCCTGTTGGTTTTCCAGTGTGCTGGTGTGTTCATCCGCCACCTTTAGTGGTGCTCTCTTTGTGTTCCCTTGGCTACTGGAGGGGAGAGCTGGCCCCATTTCTGAAACCATATGGCCTCCTGCCACTTAAGTGCCTGCCCCCAGATGCCCTTGACCCCTGCTGCCCCATTCAGACTCTCGGACCCTCTACATCGGGGCCGAGTTCAGTACAGTGTGATAGGAGCAGGATCGGGATGCAGTGCAAGAACTGGCTCCAACAGTTGGCCAGAGTGGTTACGGAGGAGGCCAGCCAAGGCGCGTTGCGCTTGGAGAGCACAGCTGCCTGGGGTAGCCTAGGAGAGGCCTCCGCAGGAATAGGCGGTGCCTTTGAGGGGCGCGTCTCTTCGGGGCGGAGCTTTTGAGGGAGCAGGAGTGGTCTGGGCAGATGGGGCGTGTCCGGGGCGGGGCTCTGCCGCCCTTGGTCGAGCTACACTCCAGCACGGGCCCGCAGAGGCGGCTCCGGAGGGGCGGGGCCGCTCCTCCCTCGGGTCCGCTGCGAGCCCGCACCTCCCAATTCCCGAAGCCGAAGAGGGCTAGCGGCGGCTGCTCCGCTGGGCTCCAGGT